AAAATAGATGCAACTGATCACAGCACTTTCTGACATAAGGAAGAATACAACAGTAACATTCTTGAACTGTACAAAGTTTACATTTAAGTTGTATGTTAGAAGCTGTCATCTGATGTATCCTAAATGAGTGATACAAATTAAGGAAATAAAAACATGCATACAGCACAATCTGCATAATACAGACAACAAAGCAATCTAAAATCAAGACTATTGCCTTTTAATTAAAGCTCGGCAACCTGGAACACGCAGCATTCAAATGTGTAATCAAAAACCAGTCACCAATAAAACTTACAAGCGTAACAAGCTGAAGCAACTTTCCAGCTGTCTTAATAGGACCCCTGCTTGCGGCAGCTTTTCACAGAGGAGAAAGCAAATCTTTTCCTTTTGTGTGCAGCTTCTGTTTTCTCAGAAGGTGAATCACGCACTTCCAATAACAGGATAACGTCTGAAACAAATCTACAATGGATTGAAGAACCTCACATATGACTTTATGAATTAACACTCGAAGAAGCCAGTATGACATCTCATTCCCCATTTCCTGCTCTAAAAAATGAGTTTTCAGATTTTCATTGTGTTTTTGTCACACAGAAATGTATTCCAAATCCACCAAATAGTGTTAAGTAGGGGAAAATGACAATTTATAATTAGCAAATTACGAGAAGATGAAATTTCACCAGCAACTCAAAAAAATTTGGTGATTTTTTAAAAACTGAAACCCCTTCATCACTTATTAAAATTATTTCAAGGTGCCATTTTTGGCTTTTGCTACATTAGTAATGACACTTTGAAAATGTCTTTGTCCTTTGTAATTCAGAGCTAAATAATGCTTTGAAAGACAATACACAATATCTAGTGCCCTACCTCAGTGGGGATAATCAATGTGTTTATGTCTTAATTATATGCAAGTTCCTGGAGTCGCTGTGCTTAAAAGAGAACATTTAAAAAATAAAGATTTTCATGCTAACAGAGGCAGAAACCTCTGTTGAGAAATCTTTCTATAAACTTCCTTTAGGAAACTAAAGTAAGAAAATTAATACTTAGCATTTTAGCGATTGCACCTGCTGACAATTTTATTTGCTTATTTTCTTTTTAAGCCCAAGAGAACACATTCCTGATAGCACAAGCATTAGGCTGAACATATCTGGGGCTGCTTCACTATTATAGGCTGAACTCCTGATGACTCTTGTTAATGAATAGGCTGCCAAACTTCCTAAGAGAGGAGGCACACGCCTAGACCCTATTCTAAAGGGACTGACTGATGCCATTCACATCTCATTATGAACATGCTTATTCTGCACAGCACTTGGCTGTTGCCAAGGCTCTGTATTCCATACTGCCACAGCAAGCCGCTGGTCCTGTTAACAGCAGGATGTTAGGCCTGAGTGGCCGTCTGGCGAACAGGCACTCTGACACTAAGCTGGCACGTGCTGGCGCAGCAGGAGCAGACCAAGGCGTGACAAATTACTGAAAGAGCTAAGCTAAACTTATGGCTGACAACCACCTGAGCCTTAGGACCTCTATGGGCCTGCCATCAACTCTCAATTCATTGCTCACCCTTTTAGTCTGCAGCCTGCTTGTGGGCCCAGTTTAAACAAGGCAGATACACTATAAAGGCTTTTCATGCTATGCCTAATAATATACTGCTGTTTAATGAAAGGCCTTCCACATCTAACACATAAGCATACAATGCAATGAACAACTGCTAACAAAATAGAAGTTCGTATGCATTTTGCTAAATATTGCATGGAAAGATCGCAAGAGGTGGCACTGGTGACGTGAATTCAAATCAAAATGAAATGACTCATGAAACTCCTATTTATGAGGGAGAGGGGAGATTTCCCTAAGCGTGGAAAAAGATTAAACAACAGTTGGTTAGTTTACAGGAAACACATTTGAAAAATAATATATGTATAGGGCTCAAAAAGCATCCAGAGGTCTAGAAAGATTTACCAGAAACGTAAAAGGAGTAAGTTTTAGGTAAAAACACCTACTTTTTTATGTAGGTGTTTTTTATGTAGGTTTTTTATGTAGGTGCATAAAACTTTATGCGTTTTTCTTGCACATGAAAATAAAGGAGTAAGTACGCTACCTGTAGCTACAGTCAAGGCCAGCATAGAGAGGGATTGTATCAACTTCCACCTCACTGCTCTTCTCTGGCTTCTCTTTCCTGAAATCAACATGCATTTTATTCCAGTCTCTGGCTACCCTTGAGGTCTGACTGCTAATAACACAAAGTCACAGTGACTTGTGACAGGGACAGAAATCCAAGAGGGATTCACATGAAAGGATCGCTTATTTTCACTTGTGGTGCAAGTCAGGGAGTGTTAAATGACAAAGAGAAAATTAACCTAATTCACTGTTACCACAATTTTACATGCAAAAGTATTTAGAAAGGTATTTTTTGGACAGAAATAGTCTTATCTAGGTCTCTTAAAAATGACAGCTGATCTGGGAGGTAAAAAACCCTAACTATTTGAATGTAGACTGTAAAGGATAATGACAGCCCCATATGAGCAAGAGGCCTTTCACAGTAGCACAGTTATTTTTTTAAATAAAAGCCATTCTTACAAACAAACTGGTCGGTTTTCAGAGAAATTTTCTGCAAAACCAAAAGCCTCATCTTTACCATAAATCCCCCTTTATCCCTCAGGCCAAATCTACATTAGAAACACTTTGCTGATGTGGCCACGCAAAACACTTCTATAGCACATGCAGTTTATACTGACAAAATGGCATCACTGCTGGGATACTTTATTCTGGTCTCTCCCTCCCTCCCAGCAAAAGTCCTGTTTGCTGGGATAGCTACATTTGCATTCTGGGCTACTGCAGGCTCTGCTGGTCGGTCAGCAATCATTCCTCCTTATACCACCTCCTAAGCTACAATGGCAGAAATCTGCAGTGAAGACCCAGGCTTAGACCCACTTAAAAGTGTCAAAAAGAGTACTTATCTGAGGCAAAAAGGAGAATGGGAGGACTTGCAGGGGATGATTTCAAGAACTGCTGTACAGCTAAACCTAAAACTAAAGCTGAACTGTTAATTATGTGAGCTTTGATCACACCTCATTGATGGTCCCAATTCTGTAAGCCCGTACTCTGTTGTACATGCCAGTGAGCCACCCCATCGTATATCACTGCCCACTTGCAGCATGAAGTTAGTGTTTTTACAGTGCCATGGAAACTAACATTTCTTTTTTTTGACATGAAATATGCCACTAACAAAATATCAACCCCATCAGCACTAGTTCATCGCTGTGCTTGGAGCTGATTAGTGCTGGGGGAAGCTTTGCTGCTGGCTGGCTTCCCCACGGCCAGATTGCTGAGGAGAAGCATGCGAACCGTTTCGCCGAGATGGTCCAATACCATGGAGGGCAGGTTGTGCTCTTGAACCCTGCCCTAGTGAAGAAGCTGGACAGCTGGCTTCCCTGATTAACTAAACCCCCATTTATCTGAAGGTTTTGGGTGTCCCCTGAGAGCTTCAGATGAATGAGGTTATACTGGACGTTCAAAGGAGCTGATCAAAAGCAGCTCTTTTTAATATGTATGCCAATTTGACCACTTCTTAATACCTCTCAGTAATGGAACTGCTCGCTATTCCTACACAGATGCTAGTCATACTGCAATTGGTATTTATTCTTTGTTGTCTCAGTGTTACTGATGCTATTCAAGCTGTTAAATTTAAATTGAAATCACTAGGATTATTTCATGTTTTGTTCCTACCACGAAGGCCAAACTCTGGAATAAAATGTTTATAAAAGATATAGCTACATTTTTATTTGTGTCATGCTCTAAATGTGTTTTGTGTCATGCTCTAAATGTGTTTTGTGTCATGCTCTAAATGTGTTTTATATTTAAGGAGTGAGCTATGAAAAGGTGTGAATGACTGGGCACAATTATGTACCAAATGTGCGGTATTAGAAATAGGGCTTCAAATCACAGTCCTGTAAATAAACCCCAATGTAAATATATGTGCCCAGTAAGAGAGTATGGAGCTTGTAGATTGTGATTTTAACATGTTTTTTATAACAAGTTACAAGCTAACACTTGTAGACCTAGACTGCTGCAAAAGATATTAACATGTTAAAATTACCATGCTGAAACAAAAAGATCTCAAGTAATCACAAGCACTGGAATGATCTGTGAAATGTCCCATTAAGAAAAGACGGAGGAGATTCTTCCACACTGGTCATTCAATATGAGGAAAAGGAGAAAGTTGAAGTTCTCCTCTCCAGCTATAAGTCCTTTTGCAGATATAAATATAGTTTGGTTGCACTGGACATGAAGGAGAGACAGGAATGAGAGCTGTCTACAGGAGAAATCTCAACCAGTTTAATTCAACAGGCCCAGTTCTGTGATGAATATTAAAGGCTAGTTTAGGGTGAGATAAAACATCATGGGGAAAAAGAAAATGTTTTGAGACTGTATGGGGTGAGGAGAAAGAGACAACCATTAGGTGGACAGCGAGAGAGGCAACCTGAGGCCTGAAGACAAAAGGAATAAATATCTGATATGTGGCAAATAAA